ATGCCAAGTCAGGTGTTTTGCATCTGTTTCACTACGAAACATGTGTCTGAATCTCAGAATTATAGGAAAATACCATAATACTTTTGCTGGTGACAATTTTTTCTTATACCGAGATACACCGCATTTAGGACACTCGTTTAATGATGCATATTCATTTCGAAACAAAATGCAATCATTTGGACAAGCATGTATCTTATCATAGCTCATGCCAATAGAGCATAACATTTTTTTAGCTTCATAGGTTCGATTGGGAAGAACATTATCCTCCGGAAGCATCTCTTGAAGTAGGGCTAACAACTCTGTGAAACTTTTATCCGACCATCCATTACCCGCCTTTAAATTGTACAACTTTAATACCGCGGACAATCTTGTGAAAGTAGTGCAACCTTTATACAACGGTTTCTCTGCATCGCTTACCAACCTCTCAAACATCTTGGGACAATCTTGAAGATCTTCTTCAAGTGCTTCTGCAATCTCTTCAACTCGATCACAATCATATGTATCCCTGCCATTATCCTTTGAAGCACATGTCGTATTATTCCGGGGTTCAAGATTCTCGTTACTTATCTCACCATGTAATGTCCAACATGTGTAACTTCAATCAATTCCATGTCTCATTAAATGAGATTCCAACTGAACGGCGTCAACTCGACGCCCATAACAGCATCCTAAGCAAGGACATGTGATCCTACTGGGGTCTTTGGCGTGTTCAACAGCAAACTTAACGAACTTCGATACCCCATTCACGTACTCTTTTGACAATCGATTACCAGACATCCATTTTTTATCCATACTAATTGAGTAATCTACACTAAACTATGAAAGTTAAACAAAACAGAGAATACCTGTAAAGAAATCACTAACTTCTAAGAATGCTACGCAATAGGATGCTTGGAAACAATCACAACTTTACTCTTCACAAGTAACCCTTATAGCAAACAAAATATAAATTTTATTAAAATCATATTAATAATTAACCAAAACAAAAATACTAGATAATCCACCAAAACAAATCATATTAAAAATACTAGATAATCCTTAAACCAAAATGACATCCTTACTAAACATTGAGAAATCCTAACTAAACATATAAAACCATAATAACATATAAAACCATATCATATAAAACCATATTCATGTTGGCTACTCTCTTAAATAATAGGAATTTCCAAACTATATTGAACATGCAAAATATAAACTCTTGTTTGTCAATCTAAAACATACAAAATATAAACTCTCTTAAAAAATATAAACTCTCTTAAAAACATATTCAACAGAGAGACTTAACATATAAACTCTCTGTTAAGACATACAAACTCTCTTAAAAAACTCTCTTATAAACTCTTCTAAAAAACTCTCTGTTTATAAAAACTCTCTTAAAACATACAAAATATAAACTCTCTTAAAAAATATAAACTCTTGTTTGTCAATCTAAAACATACAAAATATCCGTAACAATGACAGAGAGACTTAACATGTAGATTAAAATACAAAATATATAACATGCAACAGAGAGACTTAACATGTAAATATCCATACAAATAATAAAAACATATTCAGTTTGTCTCTTAAAGATTACAGAAAATGACTTAACTTGATTGCATTCGAATAATAAAAACATATTCAGTTCTATTTAAAGATTACAACAACAATGGTAAAAATATAAGTAAAAAAGAAAACCAGAGTAAAACTTCAAATACGGTAACAATGGCGGAAATGCAATGCAGACGAGCAGAGGATATCGAAAACGGACGGTGACCGGCGGCAAAATGCAACAGAGGAGGGTGACGGTTGGACGGAGACGGTGGGTTTATAGGGCAACATTCTTTGTTCGCCAGAGAAAAAGAAAGAAAGAAATACGATATGACTGTTCTGTTTCTTATAAAAATTCTGGTGGGTATTTTAAATTAATTCTAACTAAACCTATAGCAGCGCTTTTTAATGGCTTTAGCAGCGCTTTAAAAAGAGCTCTCAAAGATCTTCTTATATACCCTATATAGTAGTGCTTTATGGAAAAAGCGCTCTCGTAGACTAGACCTACAGCAGCGCTTTAGGAAAGCGCTTTCATAGGGATGTATTAGACCCCCCTTTTAGCAGCGCTTTTTAGAAGCGCTGTCTTAGGTCCCCCCTTTAGCAGCGCTTTTTATAAGAGTTGTCTTTGAGATGTCTTAGACCCCCCCTTTAGCAACGCTTTTTAGAAGCGCTGTCTTAGGTCCCCCCTTTAGCAGCGCTTTTTCAAAAAACATTGTCTTTGGTTATCAATTTTTTTCTTTTTTTTTTAATTCCTCTTTAGCAGCGCTTTTTCTAAAAGCGCTGTCTTTGTATGCGCTGCTAAAACTCAATTCTGGCGTAGTGTCTAATGGCTCTCTCACCTGCCATTCCAGATCTAGTCAACCACCTCCGCCATTACTATGCCATAGATTTAGAAGGACAACAGTTAGTGAAAAATACAACTGAGATGGAAAAAAATGATTACACATATTCAAAAGGTCTACTGTTTTTCCGAGAAAAACTTTACATACCTTTTAATCATTTACGGTTGGCACTCATTGACGAGTTTCATAGCACACCAACTTCGGATCACTCGGGTGTCAAACCTACAGTTGCTAGACTTGCTGCTTCCTTTGCTTGGGCAGGACTCCACACCGAGGTCAAGGATTTCATCAAACACTGCATAGTTTGCCAACAGAGCAAGTATCAAACACAAAAAAAGAAAGGATTATTGCAACCCTTACCAATACCAAGTCAGGTGTGGGAGGAACTCACCATGGACTTCATAACTCATCTTCCAAATTCCTTCGGTCACACAGTGATTTGGGTCATCTGTGATCGACTCACGAAGTATGTGCACTTCATTGCTCTTCCAACTCGATACACTGCACAGGATTTGGCAACAAGATTTTCTGTTGAGATTTGTAGGCTCCACGGTATTCCCAAATCGATTGTCTCGGACAGGGATCCCTTATTTTTGAGTTCATTTTGGAAACAACTGTTCAAAGTTCAAGGGACAACGTTAAAGTTTAGTACGACATACCATCCAGAAACAGATGGACAGTCGGAAGTTGTGAATAAAAGTTTAGGAACATACTTACGATGTTTTGTTAGCGACCATCCCAAGCACTGGTTCAAATACTTGCATCTGGCCGAACTCTGGTTCAACACAACGTATCACTCGGCTATTAAGATGTCACCATTCCAGGCTCTATGCGGGCATCCACCTCCATCTATTCCGGATTACATCAAAGACTCTGCCACCATTGATTCCTTAGATTCCTCGTTTCAACATCGCCAATAAATTTTGAGTCAGCTCAAACATAACTTACAGAAAAGTAGAAAACAAATGGAGACTCAGGCCAACAAAAAAAGACTCGATATTACCTTTCAGACAGGAGATCTTGTACTGCTTCACTTGCGGCCTTATCGTCAACAGACGGTCATGAAAAGAACGTCACAAAAACTTTCAAAGTATTTCCATGGACCTTTCAAGATCATCTGACGCGTAGGAGAGGTGGCATACGAACTGAATCTACCTTCATCTTCTAGGATCCATCCTATTGTGCATGTGTCTCTCCTTCGTCCTTTCTTCGGCAAAGCGAACCACCACCAAGAACAGGACCTTCCTTTACACCTCTCTGATGTCTTCCTGCGAGACAAAACAGTACACAATACGACTGTTGTTAACAAACAACTCTCAAATGACGGAAAAAAAGAGAAGATCCAAACAAGATCGTTTTACCTGCACCAGTGATTACTGTCAATTGACATGCAAGCCGAAGTGAGAAAAACTTTTTGACAAAGAGAAGAATGGGGAGATGTTATCTCGAAACGGCGGTGGTACTTTGAAGACCACAAAGAACATGCAATCTAGGGTTACTCCTTTTTATATCCCTCAATCTCCAAGTACTCCTTTGAACTTTATCTCTCCTTCACGTGCAACTGATCCTCGTAACTCTCACCTACCACATGCTAGAAGCTTCCCTTTCCCATACCACATTAATATCCCTTGGTCTCCCCAACCTTATCACCCCTCCAGCTGTCACGCTTCAAATTCTCCATCAAACAGCTGTACCACACCGTTCCTTTCTCCAGCCAGCTGTACCGCCCAACTTAAATTCTCCACTTCCTCTCGTACGGATTCCACTTCAACATGGTTTCCCCACAATAGTATCACACGGCCCAATCCACCTTTGAACCTTGAGGACAAGGTTCCCATTGAATCAAAGAGTATTGATAGGTCACAAAGTTCCAAGCCCAATAAATTTATTAGGGAAAGGAAAAAGCCCTTTTGGTTTAATTTTTTTTATCATTTCTAAGTGAGGGTGCCTTTAGCTTTTTAATCCTTAATGTTCTTAAAATAATTATTAGGTTGACCCATGACCATAGTTAGAAACCCTAGTATTTATATTGTAATGTTGTCTCTTGAGAGGATATGAAAAAAATTGTTTTAAGTTTATCTTCCTTTTGATTACTCATATTTGATATCATTCTAGTGTAAATCTATCCGTTGTATTGTAGTATGAATCAAGAAAGTATTACTATAAATGCAGTTTTTGATTTTTCAACGAACAAGTATTCTTAATTATTCATTAATTATGTATTTAATTAGCATCTATTACTCCTACAAATAATAAGTAACCTTAAGATTTAAAATATTGAAGAAAGGTTGAACAAGTTCCATCCTGCAAGATGCAATTTAGTACATTAAAGCGAGATCCATCAGTGATTGGATATGAATGAGGTGGTGGTAGTAAGTAACAGAACTGGTATTACTCTCTTAGTGGGGCTATGATATTGATTTTCACGTTATATCCGCGTCTATTTAATGCACCTATCTACACTCCCAACTGTAAAACCCTATTTACAACAAAATACCATTTCTTGCTTATTTCCACTATATATATTTACACTCTTCTCACACACTACTTCATTCATTAATCATTCACACATACTCTCTCACACACACATCACTATCTATCTACTACCATCCATTTCTTTCTTCAATGGCATTTGAGGATCTCATAACCATGGTTGCATTGTTCTTGGTTGTGATACTTAGTTTCTGCAGTGGAGTTAGAGCTGACCCACAAGTTCCTTGTTACTTCATTTTTGGTGATTCTTTGGTCGATAATGGTAACAACAATGTTCTTAGTTCTTTGGCTAGAGCTGATTATCTTCCTTATGGAATTGATTTCCCTGATGGACCTTCTGGTAGGTTTTCCAATGGGAAAACCACTGTTGATGAAATTGGTAAGACCCTGCATTTTCTTCACATTGCATGCACTTTAAATTCTAATTATATGGTATTAATTCTAAATTAGTTTCACATGCATGTACACATGTAATTATCATCATTGTCAGAATCTTGGGTTCGTTGATAAGTTTCCATAAACTATACTTGTAATATATTTTTGCATGTTATCTTTCTCGATATCCAGCCTTATGAACGACTAATCTGAAAGGTCAATTCTACCGCCCGTTAAAACGATCCGATTGAAATAAATTTGTTCAGCACATAAATTGTTTGCATAAAGAGATAAAGTTCAAATCTCATCCAAAACCGATGTAAAATAGTAATTAGTACGACGTTAAAATGAAATTCCATTCCCATATGCACATGGGTCTATATGGTGGCATTAAATATGAAAGTAAAGAAACAAAGTACACATCATGGGCCGGTGTTTACTGCCACACAGATCTATAATTACAAGAAGCACCAATTTTATAAAAAGAAACAAAAGATTAAGTTTGGATATATTCTTACATATATAGGATTCTTTCATATCTTGTTAATGCATGGTAAATTTTTTTTACTGTTTCTAACTATGTGTGGAAATTCAACAGCTGAACTATTGGGATTCGACGATTACATTCCTCCATATGCATCAGCTAGTAATGATGCTATACTCAAAGGAGTCAATTTTGCATCTGCAGCTGCTGGAATTAGAGAGGAAACTGGCCGGCAACTGGTATACTCATATATTATATAGATTTTTTATCAGTAAATATACGAATTAACAATTTTACGCTATCAATAAATCACGAACAATCATTTTGTTTGTAGGGAGGGCGCACTACTTTTAGTGGCCAAGTGAATAATTACCAAGAAACTGTGTCACGAGTGGTGAATTTACTAGGAACTGAGGATCAAGCTGCAAGTTACTTGGGCAAATGCATATACTCAATTGGATTGGGTAGCAATGATTACTTGAACAACTATTTCATGCCTCAATTCTATTCAACAGGTAGTCAGTATACACCAGAAGCCTTTGCTGATGTTCTTATTGAAGATTATACTAAACAACTTCGAGTAAGTTTCTAACTCTACACCATCAGTTAATCATATATATATTGAATTGTAGGATTTACTGTTTGTGTTTGTGATTCAGACTCTATACAATTATGGAGCAAGGAAAATGATACTATTTGGGATTGGTCAAGTAGGGTGCAGTCCAAATGAATTGGCCCTACACAGCGAAGATGGATCAACATGTGTGGAAAACATCAATACAGCAAACCAAATGTTCAACAGCAAACTGAAATCTCTTGTTGATCAACTTAGCAATGAGCTTCCCGATTCGAAAGTTATCTACATAAATTCTTATGGCATTTTTCAAGATATTATAAGCAACCCTTCAGCTTATGGTAATTTAATTTCTATCCTATCAACTTTTCTTTAGTCACTTTTCTTAAGTATCAAATAACATTGACATGGTGCCTTAATTTATTTCAGGTTTTAGTGTCATAAATTCTGGATGTTGTGGAGTAGGAAGGAACAATGCTCAAATAACATGTTTACCATTGCAAACACCATGTGAGAATAGAAGAGAGTATTTGTTTTGGGATGCTTTTCATCCAACTGAAGCTGGAAATATTATTGTTGCTCAGAGAGCTTACAATGCTCAATCTCCAGAGGATGCTTATCCTATTGATATTAGCCACTTAGCTCAGCTCTGATCTATCAACATGTTCTTGCTAGTGGCAAATTAAATTGTATCACTACAGTAGTTAATGTTCTTGGAATGTGTTATGTATTATCAGTTTTAAAATTTATTTCTTTGTTGTCGCATATAAATCATATGGTAAGTGTTCATAAGTCTCTTTAGTAGACCATGTTGCCTGGTTAATGAGCTTTGTGATGTTTTTGTCCAAAATTATTTAAACATTTGCTTTCAAATCTTTAAATAATCTCGCATTATTTGGGAGTCGAGGCTAAGGATAATTTATATATAATACTCATACACTTAAACACAACAAGATTTTTTTAAAAAAAAGAAACTGTGAGGATTCTCACACTCAAAGCAGACAATACCTCATGCTACAACGACACGAATTGGGATTGATCGGAACATTTTCTATAAATGGTGCCATAATTTTCATCCTATAAAAAAATAAAAAAAGGGACTGACAAAAATATAAAAATGAAGGAAATAACACCAAAAATATTTTAAGCATGGAAAACACTTGAGGTATTCGTATGATTTTCCATTGTGCTAGTTGTATGAGAGACAACCGAAGTTGTCTTATCTTTTGTTTGAGGACCAGAAATGTGTAGCCAAATGATGAAATGAAGTTTTAGAGCGATGGAGGAAACTTCTAGTACATCAGAAAGGAAGTATATTTGCACGATTAACATTCTAATGTCTAAGTCAGTTGTTGAGTAAAAAGTAGTATGAAAGTGAAAATGATTTGAATGCTTGAAATGACACTATCTTGTATTTAAATAAAAATTGCTCACGTGTGATTGAGCGCCTTGTGCAAATGATCGTTCGATTAGATATCAACGGTGATTGATGAGATGGAAGGTGTAATCATATGTCTTCAGTAGATATGAAAGTCCACATGTCCAATGTTCCTTCCCCTTAAACACTTGTTATTGGGCCTTCTTCGCGGGCCTTGCGAACGGTCTAGAAAAATCCCCCCCAAGCCCCTTTTTATAAGTTGTAAAGCGAGAGCTTTATCGAGTTTTCCTTCAGACCAGGCCCAGGTGGAAGGGTGAAGGAGAGTCTTGATGGAACATTGATATCTTTGGGCGAAAGAGCATTAAATCCCTTCATCGTGATAACAATGTTTTTTAGATGTGTATCAACATGTGTCCCTATGTCTGATGGTAATGATTATTTCTAGTACCATGGCTTTTGAGTTTTTTTTTTAATAGTGTGCGATAAAATCTCGACCTTTGGTGATGTGGTTTCCACTTCCCAATGCTAAGGATCACATGGTTCATATTCCATGAGAAATATATAAGGAGCTCTATGTTTATCGTGCTCTATTTTTTGCCATGTGTGACTCTTTTAAAGCTCTTCTCTCACCTCTATAATCTTTCTCAGTCTCCTCCCATTATCCATTAAATTGTATATGTTCCACCACTAATGGTAAAACATATAGTATTTGGATCATTGATTTCATCTTCTCAAGGTAATGTCTGAGTATGAACTTTCTTTTCTTTTTGCACTAGCTTAATTTATTAGGATTTCTATAGAAAAGAGCTATGAATTTCCGTTCTCTCTAGTCCGTGCTTTAGTGAATTCTTTTACTTTATATGACTTTTAAAGGGACTTATAGTTCATCTTTTATGTTGACCTTGTGTTTTTATTATAATTATACATTGAAAATTATTTTTATGATATGGATAAGTCTCAACCCATAACCCAGAAAACAATAGAAAATAACTCTACTGTGTGGGTGGATCAAGATATGTTAGACACTGTTTATGCCTACGTTGGTGAAGTGTCTTAGAGCACACCTTTACTCAAGTGAGCCCCCCTCAGAGTAGGGAGTTCATACATTTGAAGTGGACAAGACGATTTGTAGCAAGTATGATGAGTGTGTCATTCCACCTAGTAATTTCCCATTCACATTTGCACTCGGTGAGCTAGACTTTTATCAAAGTCTTCCAGTAATGTTGAAAATACAAGAAGCGCGTGGTGTCTCTGAAACTCTTCTTCCACCTCTTTAGGGCACAACAGAGTTCTTCTGATTCAACCTCGGGGCAGGGTCTGATCTCCCTCCGGAAGAGAACTAAGAAGATTGACATTTACTCAAAGAGCGTAAAACACTTCAAGGACTAGCACTACCTGTTTATCCCCCTTACTGAGATGTCACATGCCAATATCAACAACATATACCCTAAAACACCTTACCAATGTTTATACAAGTTCTCCAAGTTTTAGTGACATAGCCATTTCTCGGCAGATGCTGGGTCTTATGTCTATTAACTAGATGAATTGTTCAAGGAAGAAATTTAAATGAAGCAAAAATTGATAGTCTTCTTCAAAGAATTGGGTTATGTTTATAATGTTATTCCTTTGAGAGTAGGAAGAAAAATAAGTAGTTCATAGTGACATACTATTTTATGGAAGCCGCTTCAGTGGAGGACATGAAGACCATCTCTGGTGAGTAATATGCAAAAGACTTATTTTTCTATGGCATTGTTTAGATTACTATTATTACTTTGTCTGTAATTAGTATTTGATTTTCATATAAGATGAAGTTCTATAAAATGATGCTTCAGATGAAGAGGACGCCTAGGATTTCCCTTTATTTATGGTTGTTGACACTGCGAATATGGGTATATGTGCTTCAAGCATTATGTATGCATCAACTTGTTTGCTTTTTATGATGACAAAACTTAGTGAAATATTCATCAGAAGTGATGATCAAGTTCATATGATTTTGGTGATGTCATATCTATAAGATGAATTTTTCATCTGATGTGATGATCGAGTTGTTGTAAGTATTTGAGTGCACCTAAGAAGAGGGGGGGGGGTGAATTAGGTACTTTGATCCATTTTTGGTTTATTGAAATTATACTTTTAACTTTCTGATTTAGTGATGATTTAGAAAGTAGTAAAGTGTAGAAATGTAACGAACACCGAGAGTTATCCTGGTTTCCCTCACAATCCGAGAGTACTACAGTCCCATTATCACATGTAAGAGATTTTAATATTGTTACATCTTATGGACAAGACAATCCTAGTCTTTCTACACAAGACCCTAACAAAATCACCAAGAACAATTCTCTTATGATTTACAACAAACTTATTTCCAGCAATCCTAGACAATAAATAAATGCCTCTACAAGAAGATACAATCCTCCTTCCTATAGATCCCTCCTAGTACTAAACAATCCTTGATACATGGGAATTCGTAACAATTACTATAGATAGAAATAAATGAAGTTTGTAGAATGGTTAAGACTTATTCAAAAGAATAAAGTCTTCTTCTCTTTCAAATATGAAGATTCAATAACATATACGCCCTAAGTGCTCAATGATACTTGGATGAATATGATATGACAATGTGATTCACAAAGTATCTAATTATGAAAATTTTGTTATGGAAATATAGAGATTTTTTACAAAGTTTGAAAGAGAGGTAATTTCAAAATCTGAAAAGTATGGTTTATATATAAGTAAGATACCTTTTAGAATCCTGGTGATGTTTAGAAAAATATTATGAACAAATGAAAATTTTAAATGAAAAGGTATCTTTAAGAGTAACCATGAAAACATGTTGAAAAATCTACTATTTAAAAAAAAAACATACAAATGCAAATCGATTGCTGCAAGGTGCAAATCGATTGCATCAGTGCAACGTTACAAAATATTTCAAAAAGTTCCAGGGACCAATCTATTGCTGCAAGGTGAAAATCGATTGGTCCATGTATAGAAATAAATTTGTTTCAAAGAACCAATAGATTGATAGGCATGCAAATAGATTGACATGATGCTTACCATAAAAAACTTAGGCAAAGTTCAAGTGCAAATCGATTGCTACAAAGTAAAAATCGATTTGCATATAGAAAAAATAGGAAATATTTCCTAAGTGTTTATGATATGGAAGTTTCATATACATTAACTGAATAGAAACTTGATTGATCTTTTCTTCAAGCTTTGACTTCTTTTTTGTGATGTGTTTTTCTTCCTCAAAACTATAAACAAGGACAAGAAGAACTCTTCTTCACATTCTCCCCCTTTTTTATGATGAAAAAACATCCTTTGAAATTTTACTTGTTCATCAATAAGTTGCTTCAATATGCGAGTTTTTGAAATATTGAGTAGCAACTAGAATCTCCCCCTTACTTTTGCAATTCATGGCTTTCTCCCCTGAAAGTATTATGAACAAGAAAAATACAATACCTACTATTTCTCCCCCTTTTGACATCATAAAAAAAGAAGAAAAATTAGAATAAAATACAAAGTAAGGTGATAACATAGGAAGGATATATTATTATAATTGAAAATTAATTGCACAAAATTAGACATTTATCTCCATAAAGATATTATGTCAAAGTTGATATCAATGTTGATGCTTCTTCAAAACATCTTTTAAATCAATGAAACTCTTAGAACTATGATATCATATGGTCTTGTGTCTTAAAAGATCAATCTTGACTTGATAATGCTTGCATAGGACTTTCAAGTATCTACGAAACAATTAGTTACATCTAGGTACCCAAATTTCTTTGAGTCCTTTTGGGTTAGTTACCTTCCTCACAGATACATACTCATTATAAGGAATACCATAATTTATTATGTAGAAAGCAATAATAGTATGAAATTTTGTTTTACAATAGAAACAAGTAGGTCTAAAATTATAATTCTTATTATAAAACCTTTTATGATGATTTACAAAATATTCTTCCTTTGATTCTACATTGTTGAAATCATTTTCATATTTCATAATTACTTAGTTTAATTCAACAATTTTAGACTCAAGAGATGAACAATTATTGCATTTTGAAATTTTGATTAAGTCTAACTCCACTTGTGTGTTATTAGCCTTACTTTCTAAATTTAAAATAGTTTTCTTTTGACCTGAAATTTTTTCTAGAAAGTTTCACAAATTCATCATGTAATTCATGAAAAGCACTTTGTAATTCATCATAAGATGGAATATCATTAGTTTCAGAATCACTAACTTCATGTTCTTCATCACTTGAATGATGTGTGGCC